AATTAGAAAAAGAGATAATAAATATAATATTTAGAAAATAAATATAGAATTTAAGATATAATTAATAATATAAATATAATTAGATAAAATAAATTATATAATAAATTATAAAATAATAAATTTTAAATAATCAAAAAAAATTATTGAATTAAAAAATTTATATTATTATAATAATAATAGCTCTTATTATATCTAAGTATATTTAAAAAATAATAAAAATTTAAGTAAAAAATTTATTATTTTAAAATAACTTGATTTTAAATAATAATTTGCTAATAAAAAAGACTTAATTTCTAGCTTTTATAAATTAAATTAAACTTAAAAAAATAACTTGAAATCTTATATAAAATATAATAAATCTAAGAATATTAATATAAATAATATTTTAGAATTTTATAATTAACTTCAAGATATAATAATCTTTAAGATATATTTAATTATAATAAAATAATATTATATTAAATATTTGAATTTAGTTAAATTTTAATATATAATCTAGTAAAAAAAAGAAAAAAATTCAAAAAGTAAGCATTATTATTAGTAATTATAAATATAAAGAATAAAAACTATTAATTTTATTTATTTATAAGTATAAATTTACTTTTCTAATATAATACTATTAAAATATAAAAAATAAAAATAAAAATCTATATTTAGATTTTATCTTAATTAACTTAATTTTATAATATATATTTGTAATTAAAAAATTTTTCTTTAAATAAATAATATAAAATATTATAAAATTAAAAATAATTTAATATTTAAATTTATTTTTTATCTTTTAATATTATATTAATTATTTAATTTTTGAATTAAAAAATAATATATAATCAAAAAATTTGTAATTTTTATTTATATATTTTATTATTATTTTATTATTAATATAATTTTATAATTAAAATATAATATAAAAAGATTTATATTAAAAAAAAATTACTATTCATAAAAATTAATTAATTAAGAAGATAATTTTTAAAGATTTTTATTTATATTATTATTTTATATATTAGTTATATATAGAATATTATTTTTAAAAAAATTATTAGAATATAATCTAATATTTTTTTTATCTTTTTTTATATCTAAATTATTTTATAAAATTAATATTATTAATCTAAAAGAATTTAAATTTTAGTTATTAAAATATAAATTTAATGATAAATAAGTAATTATATGAGATTATTTTATTTGTTATGATATTAATAACTTTTATAAGATTAATAAAAATATAAATAGTATATTATATTAATAAATTCTTGAAGAAGATCTTATAAAGACTATTAAAGAATATGAATTTACTATTAATAAGATCATTTTTATGATTCTAAATATATGATATATTTAATGAAAGAGTTATTTAAATTGTTATTTTAGATTTGCTGGCACAATCATCTAATCTATTATCATTTTTGGTATCTTTCTGAATCAATTTCAGATATAGAAGACTTGTAAAAAAAATTCAGCTGGTTTGGAAGAAAATTAATGTATGAATTTAATTTGTTCTATATCAGAAAGAATTTGTAATATAATAAAAATACATGGTGATTATATTATATGGTAATATATTGGATGTAGTTAAAAAATAAAAAAAAATAGTTTTATATTGAAGATTATATAAATTTTATTAAAAATGAGCAAACATAATGTAACACTAAAAATTGAATAGATTGTGAAATAATTGACTAAATAGTCTGTGTTGAATTTATTATATTTTAATTTTGCGTTGCATTACTTTTGATCGCCACTGTATTATTAATAATTATATTGAAGAATATTCAGATATAGAAGTCATTAATAATAGAATAGTTTCAAAATCAAAAAATAAATGACTTTATATATTTTTTTTGTTAATAATTTAATTAATACATTATTTAGTAAGAGACTTGTATATTAATCTATAATAATTAAAATCTGTGTTTTTCTGTAATTAAATAAAAAACAAGCATTCTTTAACAATTTTAATTGACTTTGTTTTGAGATAAATTATAATCTTTAAATTATTTAAAAATCCTTTTGTTTAGAATTTTTAAATAATCCTTCGTTTCTCAAGAAATAATTAAGTTATAAGATAGCATCTGATCTTATCATGTAATTTTGGGATTGGTCCCTCGAGTCTAAACTCGACTCAAAATTGTCCGGGCAAAAGTTGACTCAAAAGACCGACTCCATGAAGCTTTTTAACATCTCTAGTTGCAACATACAAAATTACATGTACTTATGTATTTAATTTATATGTAATATCTTGAATCCAGCGATTGGAATCACATAAAAATATCACCATTCGATTCATCTAGTTATGACAAATCAAATGGTGTAATTTTGATCACAGGATATTGAGATATCACATATTTTCTTTATATTATTAATACTTTTCTTATGATAAAATAAAGTCTTTTCATACGAGATCATTCTACAAAGGAAGTAATGGAAGTAATTAAAGCAATTATCAAAGAAACATGGCTTTCTTCCGGTAAAAGCAACAAAATGCGAAGTGACAAAAGCAAAAAGTAATTCTTTCTTAATTGCTTTGAACTTTATTTTATTTTCACTTCTTCTTGACTGACGAAATAGAATAGTCGTTTGTCTAATTTTTAGTATATTTCTTCCAATCAAACATCTACCCAAACTATGTACATAAAAATTAATGTAAATAAGCCCCCGTTCTTGGGGCCAAATACATAATGTAATATTTGCTTAAAAAGGAATAATTGTTTGTTTATATACTGTACGTTAATTATCTATTCAAATTGATAGTCTAAATTGAAAATCATTTGTTTTTGTTGACCCAAAATGTTCTACATATACATGCATTTGCTGTTGTGTTTATAGTTACACAATTTTTTATGTTATTATTGTTACAAATATAGGCAAGGTGTCACAAGATTATCACATATAGATGAAAACATTTCAATTCTTTAACAATATGTAATAATTCGTGATATTTATACATCCCTTAACGTTAACTCGGATAGGTACAATTATGACGAAACAGAATGAAAGAGACAGCAGCTTAAAAGAAATCCCGCGTGAGAGAACCAACTAGAGAGGAAGCTCGACAAAAAATATAGTCAAACCTCTATATAAATCATGATATACTAACTAGAGAGGTTGTGACTATGCGGAGATCCAATTTCTTTATGAAAAAAATATAGTTATATTTAATATTACTATAGAAAGTGCATACATAATTGTGTAAATTTAAAACTATTTTTAGTTTATTAATATGGAAAGTGCATAATTGTGTGTGGGAAAATTTAAACCTATTTTTAGTTTATTAATATGGAAAGTGTGGTTTGACTTAAAAAATTTTTTCTAAATTCGGCACGATGATAATTCCCTCTTATTTTGTATTAGATTAATTCTAATTTGGCAGCTATAAATGTTTGTGCGGCCAATTAAAAATATTATTAACGTTAGTGGTAGGATTAAATCCCTATGCATGTATTTAGCATATGAATCATCACTACATGTATTATGCAGATAAATTTTATGCAAAGTGCTTTATGTAGTAAATTCGAGCATACAATACTTTTTTCCATTTTAAGGCTATTAAATATACAATCATTGTGCGGGCTGAAAGACATTGTCTAAATGTATACTGACTAAGCGCATGCATTGTTTAATGTTTAATTGCCTAATTTTTTAGACAGTATATGTGTGATACAAAAGTTAATGAATATCGATACCATATAAGGAAGTACCCATAAATTTTTTGATTAGATTTTTCTATACCTGAATACTACATGTAATTCCCACGTCAGAAGTTGAATGCATTACTAATCTATTACCAGGATAAAAGTTACGATTATAAATTTTTCTATGTGAATTTTTCTTAGAATATAATATAAACGAATTTAATTTTTGATCAAAATTTGATTGTATCACTGTCTGTGCCATATTCATTACGAAATTCTTCATCAATGCTGCATTTTTCTCCTGCCATTGATGTTAATTCTATGTTTTTTCGATGTTGTTGAACGTAACGGTTACTAAGATTACTTAGTTGTTGAGATAAGGGATTGCAAAGTGCTCTTGATCGACAAACATACGTCCGTTGCTGCTATGGATTGTTAAGATGCGAACCTCAAATGTGTTTATTGGCTGTTCAGAATGCTTCTGCAGAAGAATTCCGTTGTTCACTCTTAGTAGTGTTAACAATCTTAATTGTTTAACAATTTCCTTTAAATATGGTACAATCAGCGGACTGGGCTGGGAAAGTGCATATTGTGTGGGAAAATGTAAACTATATTTTTTTAGTTTTGTAAAAAATTCTAAATTCGTCATGTAATACTAAATTTTCGATTTTGGATCATGTGCAAAGACGATCTTATTTTTGTATTAGATTAATTTCTAAATTGGCGCTATCACTATAAATGTTTAAGTTTTTACGTGTGGCCAATTAAAAATTTTATCAGCGTTAGTCCTACCTCCTTTACATTTTAACATATGACACATCATCACTACATGTATTATGCATAAATGATAAATTTATGAAGTAGATTTAGGATTTTGATAAATTCAAGACAACAATCATTTTTCCCATTTTAAGACTTTCAATAACTTAAACCTAATCTTTAAATGATTGTGAGGGCTGAACACATTTTCTAAATGTATATTTTCTAAAAGCATATTGCTTAATTTTTATAGTAATATGTAATTAGACAGATATTTATTAGCGAATACTGTCTAAATGCATAAAAATGAAATTTTTTGTACTTTTACATGTAGATGATTGTAATTATAAAGTATATGTAAATGTTCTACACTTTTTATGAACAATTGTATGTATGATTGTATTATCCTAAATCAGTTACCATAATTATTTTATATATGTTATGCATGTATAATACAACAATCATTTTTTCTAAATTGAGCGCACTATTAATCATCTTAACAAGTGATCCTTTCTCTATAAAAATGTGAAGAATTCAAACCCTTTCCAAGTAGTGGAAACAACAAGTTTTAACCCACACATTTATTCAATATTAATTCAAACGAAAATGAACAAACCAACCTCTCTCGTGTTTTGTTTCACTCTGATCTTCATTTTTATCTTCTCTTCATCGGTTAATGCAATACCAAGGGGAATCGAAAAAAGAGCAACATGCACTCCCCACCTATCCCGTTGCGTATTTCAACCTAATAATACTCCAACACAACAAATTGGTGGCGAAATTCATTTCGCACAATTCACTAATTGTTCTATATATACCGATGGACAGCTTAATTTTCTTCCAGCTGTACTGGGTTTCCCCACATCAGTAAGTGCCTATGATATCCATATTACAATAACCCCTAAAGCGGCAGACCCTTCCGCCCCGGGCGCTATGGATTTAGAAGATCTAGTCACACCAAGTGCAAATCTAATTAATGGGCCTTGGAGAAACATATTGCCTCCAACTGCTTTCCCCTCAGATTTCTTTACCGCTCCAGGTAAATACTTTGTTGTAGTTGCAATAGACAAATTCCCTAACGATCAAATTATTGGAACTTGCCAAATCGAAGATATTTATTGAGAAAAAAGCAATCTCCCATCTTCTCTGGAAACAAAATATGTCTAGTTTATATGTCCAAACGCCGATCATATTTTTATTTTTGAATTTTGATATTTATTCTTTTACCAACTTGTAGAGATTTATTCAATCTAAATTTTTATCTTCCCTTCTTAGAGATAGAATTTGTGTTTGTAAATTTTAGAATATAAGTATACTTTTACTGTATCAATCGAATAAAGAAAGTTGCTTGGTATTAACGATTCAGTTCAGTTATAAATTTATAATCAGTGATATGCCATACAGCAAGCCTGGTTTCGGAATGTGACAAATATTCCCTGGATGTCTTCAAAAATATTAAATGCAAAGGTTTCAATATCTAAATTCAAACAACAAAGTGAAACTTTGAATGCAGTGGAACCAAGTCCTGAATTATAAATTTCTTTATACATGAAAGCAAAATACATATAAACTGAAATTACGTATCTCGGAACTGATGTTCTTAAATGAAAACTTTTATAAATATCCCTATTACCTACCAAATTAAAACAAAATGTTTGTGAAAATTTAAACACATAATACTGTACATAATAGCAATACTTTACGCTTGCGTTAATACCCAGAATACCTTATTCAATAATAAAGATTGCCGTAACGGTAATAATTTCGATCTCATCAACCTGTATCTTTATGAATATTTTCATATTTTTTTGCAAATGCCATCCAAAGTTGTGCAAAATCAACTTTACCTATGGCAATCGATTTTTTAGGCAATGTGGAAGTTCGCACAACATATTCGAGTCACATACAGTACACGACGAAAATTCGTTATCACTAGTTTAGTACTATTTATTATCCAATAATGGGTCCATCCAACTAAGTTGCTTTATAAATTGACCCAAAACCTCCTTTTGCAAGCTATTTAACATTGATAATTCTTTCAAAAGGAATATATTTTTCTATTTTTAAATGATTTGTTACGTTTTTTCAAATAGCGATTGCTGCGGTTATTGTTCCTAGTTTTAGAAACACGCTGAATCGGAGTTTGGACCATTCAATTCAGACCATTTATTGCATGTATATACATGTTGATACACCGTAGCATGGAATTGGACTACGTCATCACGTAGATCCCGATCCGCGTGATATTGGGCACGGGATCAGATCTCGTGATTAGTGAAATTAGCGAAGTTAGTATATGCAACCGGATGCAGCGATGCAAAGCCTCAGATTGATGCATCGTTAGGAAGATGGTCTGATATGGAGTACACCAATAAATTCCGAATATATGAAGGTGTACCAATAAGGCGCCGACTAATGAAAATGATTCATTAGTCTTGGCGACGCGATAAAAGTGGGATCGCGACGAGAATAGTGGGAGGAAATTTGATTATAAA